CGAGGTAGAGGATTAACATACTATTCCTAAGAAGTTGCGTCAATGTCGATGCATCGGTATACACATTTCTTGAAAACATGTCATCCTTACAAGGATTGTATGATTGAATGGGTATGTGTATGTGGATCAAGATATTCTCATTGTATGAATTCATGTTAGCCAACCTGTAGATATACATGGGATATATGTTAATTGTGTTGAGTTTTCTGTTCAGAGATGATATTGTTTATTCATGAATTATTTATCATACTTACCATAAACCTGAGATGTTGTTAACTGTCATGTTTTAATTCAAATTATTTATATTATTTTGCTAAATGAGACTTACCTGTTTTATGTTTTCAAAACCTTGTTGGGTTTGAGAGAGTGTATCTTTACTGGGCTTTTTGCTTATCCTACGTGAATAATATTTTCAGATTTCAGAATTGAAGAAAATCTTGAGATAGATGAACAAGGTGACTGGGATTTTAGGGCGGATCATGAAGTGGATCCGGAAGTAAATGTTTAGAGCTAATTCTTTGTACTAGTTTAAATTTCTTTAATGATTATGAGATAATGTTAAGAGTAAAATTTTATCTTTTCTACTACGAGGTATTATTTGGGTTTTGAGATATAATTGAAGGTTTAACTACGTTTTGTTGGAGTTGGTTTAGTTTTTTATTCAATGTATGGATGTTTTGGTTTAATTTCATGTATTAATGGTTGTTTGTAGATGCTCTCGTGGTTGAATATTTGGTAAATAGTTAATGTCTTCCAGGGTAAATTCAGGGGCGTTACAGCCTTGGCTCGGTATTTATAGTGTCTATGTCTTTTCCTTTCTTTTAGCCAAATTAGACAGTATGTCTACCATAACAGTTGTAATTTTCCCCTTTTGTTAGCCTTTATCTCCTCCAGTTTTTCCTTCCATGTTCACAATGTATCCCTATAAATCTTTTGGACTCTTTCCCTATGTTTATCCTTTTATTCTTCGGGGATTGTGCTCGATTTGCCCGAGCATTACTTCTACCGAGTCACGATGGTTGCTTGGTCTAGCTGTCTTCGAAGGTCAGTGCTTGTTTCTCCAAACTTGCACAGTCATTTTATGCTCCTTCACCAATGAACACATAAATTGTAAAATATAACATATAAAATTCAAATTGCATAAACAACTGGTTTCTAGCAACCACAAAAACTATAAAAAAAAATTGAAAAAAAAAAAATTGGAGGCCGGTCCTCCTTTGTGGACTTATTTGGTGATTAGTCTATCAAGAAAATTTGTTTAACATTAAGTCTATTTTGATCTCCATTGTCCAAAATACCTCTAATAGTTATATTTAATTAAAACAAATTTGAAAACTAACTCCTAAATTTTATGAGTTAAACTAACATTAAAATTATCTCTCTCTCATATCTATCTATATCCATAAATACAATAGAACTATTTATTTCTCTCTCTCTCATATATATGTGTATATATATATATATATACAGTAACATTAAAAAAATAGTAACATTCAAACACAAAAAATAATATCATTTAAACATAAAAAATAGTAAAATTTAAATACAAAAATAATAATAATATTCAAAAACAAAAAAATAATAACATTCAGTATTAATATTTGGGAAATTAGCAGTAGTAACATGCTCAACAAAAACGGTAATATGAATAGTAAAATATCTGACAAAAATATTAACATGCAAATAAAAATAGTAATATGAACATTTAGAAAAAATAGTAACATTCAAAATCGAAAACAATAACATTTAAAAAAATAAGAAAATTCAATAACAAATAAAAAATATTTAAATAAAATAAAAAATAGTAACATTTAAACCAAAAACAAATAATCTACTCATATGAGTCCTATATATATATAAGAGAGAGAGAGAGAGAGAGTATCAATTGCTCTTTAAATTTGAATTTCAAATTTATGTAGCAAAATTTAGTGGCATATCTTCATTGATAGTGTATTTAAGGGATAACAATTCCCAAGTTAGGAAACTAATTTAAAGTTTTTTTCAAATAAAGGTATTTTGAAGTTTAAAAAAAAAAAAAAAAAAGTGGACTTAACTACTTATTAGTAAGATTAAAAAATGACCTATCCCAAAATAAGTTTTTTTTGACGGACTAAACTTATTTAAGTCTCTTAAGGAGGATTCAGCCCCCAAAAAAAAAAAAATTGCATAAACAAATCTGTTTGACAATATCAAGACTTTTTATATTCAATTGTACCCATGAAGCTCAAATCCAAACCTATAAAAAATCAGTAAATATTGTAATAGGAAACATCTTCTTTTGCAGCTTGATTCCCTTTCTTCCTCCTAATGAAACAAACCATCTTTACACTATGTTTCACAGTCAACCAAGATGAAGACGAAGATAATCACTCTTGCATTTTTCCCTGATCAAGACTGGCCCTTTTGCCCTAATCAATGGTTGTCACCATTGTTGTCATTACAGTGGAAATGAAGAAGTCTGGAATCACGGCCTTTGACTGGCTAAGCAGGGTGTTTTGTCCAATATGCCCGTCGACTCGACTAAAGATATGCACGCCCAAGTATAAGCGGTCAAGTTGTAATAATAACTCGGTTAAGTCCAAGATTGAATCTATAGGGAATTATTGTTGGTATTTTAAACAATAGATCAATAGAGAGAGAGAGAGGTGAACGAAAACCTTTGAAATGAGTGGTTGTGAAGTGTGTGTGTGTGTGTGTGCTAGAAAAAATATAAAGTTCTTAATAATAAGAAAAAGTCACTTTTTAATCCAGGGATCCGAAAAATATGTGAGTGTTTGAATGCAATATTTGTGTAATAAGAAAACTCAGTTTACTCTTCTGTCAATAGTAAGCTAACTGGAAGATTATGATTGATTTTAAATTAAATATCTTAGCTCCGACATTATGCCCAAAGTTATAAACATTGATGATGTCAGGACTTCACCTGTCTATAATCAATCAAAAAACATAACATCCAGCTGAGTAAGTCAATCAATCATATATATATGCACCATGAATGTGAAGATTGAAGGATAGTCATTAAGAGCTAGCTTAAATATTGGTAAGGAATTATAAGCATTACTATAGTAAGACTCAACTTGTCCATAGGTAATCAAATAATTATACATGTTAGCATGTCAAATTTATTCAACCATTCATAAGTTAGATTAGACAAGTAAGCATAATAGAAATTACACAAATACATTATCCAAACATTTCAACATAAATTCATCCCACTTCAGTAAAGATTGGATAAGAAATTACTCACCCTTCATGGCCATTAGTAGGCTAAAAAAGTGAGAAAATCTCATCCCTCTCGGTCAAGAGAACTCGAGATTGTAAAAGATAAACACAAGTTCTTTCTTTACTAAAGAGCGAATCAAATACAACTCACCCTTCAATTCTTAAAGGACGCTAGAAAGGTGAGTGAAGTTCATCCCTCCAAATGAAAAAAAAAAATTGGAATTACAATAAATAAATGCAAGACTCTTTTATTTAGTAAAGTCCAAATGAAATACAACTCACCCTTCAAAGCTTAAAAGAAGCTGGAAAGGAGAGTGAAGTTCATCCTTCTAAATAAAGAGAGAAGCTTAAGAAATGTAGAAGTCAGGAATTACAAACATTACAAGCCTTTAAGAAAAAAAATATAAGAGAGTATGAATCTCCAAAAGTGATCCCTTCCTCTAAAGCCTAGGGGGTATTTATAGAGGGAGATGGGTTGCAAAAAGAATTCAAAATCTAGAGGTTAAGGTGGGAAAACAGATTCCAACTTCCAGCATGGGCCTCTAGATGGTGGTGGCAGGCGTTTGGACTCTATTATTTCTCTGTTTTGCAAACTTGTTGAATTTGTGCTTGGGAAGGGGCATTCGAAAGATGGTGGCTGGCATTTAGACGCCTTTCTCTAACAACCTCCTTACTTTGCTACTTTTTGTATGGGAATCTTTTGGCGGTGATGGGCGTTCAAACAATAGTGGCTAGCATTTTGACACCTCCTTCTTGCTGTAATTTTTCTTTTCTTCTTTCCAATCCACCTTTCTATTCCTTTTTTGCCCCTAAATTTTGCCAAATTGTGTTTTTACCCTACAATTTAAGCTAGTGCCTAAATCTATCATATACAAATTAAAATCATTCAATTTACAAACCAACTATTCGTGAGATGCAAGCAATTAACTTTTTTAATGTATATTGAAATGCTATTTTTACAGGTTAATCATCCCTCACATGGATGGCACATGGTCATCGAACTGTTAAAATATAGACAACAAAATACAAACGACGTCGACAGTTGGAATCAAAATAAATCAAATTGTATACATTAAGGACCAATTTGATTCAACTAAAATATTGGAAACCAAAATGAGAGAAAATTAATCTTATTTATTAACAAAAATTAAATTTTTGGTATATTCAATACTTCTAATTCCCTACGAATGTTATAAACTAGTTCATCAATTCCTATTTTCATATCAATCAAAATAATTGTGTGATCAAAACTAATGTTTTTTGGTTGACTAAATTAATTTGAAAATTAAATAAGATAATTACAAATTACATAAATATAATTATTTAATAAACATGAACAAATCCAAATCCCAAAATTAAAAAGTTATTCTTCTAATAGTTATTTCCTACAAATTTATTTACAATTAATTTCCAACAAATTCAATATTTATAAAAATCAAACTTGGTCTTCTTTTACCTAATTTCTTAATTCAATTTTAATCCCTATGGTTTGACCTCAAACCTCACCAAGAAATTATTAATTCTTGGTGCATTTGAGTGCAACTTTTGAGAATCAAGCACACTCCCCAAACCTACCACACTATATTCTTCATTGAATGGATCAATTTCAACTTCTTGCTGCATTTGAGGGCAACTTTTGAGAATCAAACACTCCCCAAACCTACCACACTATCAATTTCAACACGTAAATACTATATTTTCTTCCAACATCTAAATCCACTAATCAAACTTTTTTTTTTCCTTTTCCTTCAAATGAATCTAACCATATGTTTGGATGCATGGAATTCAGCACAAGCTGTCTTGACAAGCTCATGTTACGTTGTTATGGGCACTGCAACTTGCTTATTTTCATTGATATGCCTCCATTTTATATCCAATTCTCCATTTTAATGGAGAAGACCACAATTATAGGCAAGCTAAAATAAAAATAAAGCACTCGACTTATGACAAGACACAGTTCATTCATTCCCATTGGAGTCCTCGTCAAAGAAATACAAGGATGGAACTGATGGTTCGTGTGCATGAAATTCTCCTGCTTCATCCTCACCAGTTATTTCAGGAATTTTCCAGCCCAAATGTTGAATATAAACTCGATCATAGGCTTCAATATTCAATCCTGAAGCGAGAAACAGTTCCAACTCGATTACAAATCTATCTGTCCGACCTGTTAGGAAAGGCCTGGCCGCCTGAGAGACCAATGTCTTGAACTCTTCTTGTTTTGCTTCTGGTGTATTTCCTGAAGATTTATGCTCTTTTCTGCAACGTACTAAGCCAGGTGTAAATTAGTGTAACACAACACATAGAGGTGATAATTGACGACTTATTACCTGCATAAAAACCCATTTAACATTGGATCTAGAGTTCAACGCAATAAGAAAATCAGATATTTACAGTAATCTGCTTGAGATCCATTGGTGCGAATGGATTTAATCAGTACACTGTCCTAAAATTGGAAAGTATTACCTTTTCAATGAGTCTACCACACCAACAATGTGATGCACTATAATCTCAACATTTTCCTCCTACATATCAAGTAGAAAACAGAATCAGTTAGCAAATGTAGAAAAACTACATAGTTTAGACTAAAAAAGAGACAATAGAGGGCAAAAATTTGTGACAGACACCATACTAAACTTAAGGCTTACCTTAAGATGATATAGTATAAACTTCAATTCTTATCATAATTAGGCCATCCATCCAGTGTTATTCAAAATTAAACCGAGATATAAAGTTACATAATTGAAAGTTTGCAGCCATTTACAGAATGAACAAACTGTTCAAGGATTTAAAACCTGCCAAAATTATTATTCCATATGAAGAAAAGGACCTACAAAGCTCCATAAACATACAGATTCCCTCTGTACAAAAACACTTCGAAAACAAGGTATTATGTTGTTGAATAGGGCATTTGTCATTGTGCTTTGATGTCAGCATAAAAATAAATTAAACATTAGTTTGACAATATGGAATGGAGAAGATATGAATCTTGTGTAGCAAATTTGATTGGGCAGGAATATCTAGCACCATTTCTGAAGCTCATCTATTCCGAATACTAAAAAGTTTCTTAAGTTCTGGTACACGTAGTATTGATAAGTATGCTTCCAAAAGGTATCCCAAAACTAACACTCTGCCATAAAGCAGAAAGCATTTACAGGAAGAATCCCAGAAATATTAGTTCATCTCGCTGCATGGTGACAAATCTTTTGCTGGTAAGCAACAAGAGAACATACCCTCACTCTCTCGCTCTCTCTCTCTCTCTCATTTGACTTTTAATGCCAACTATTCTAAGACATCTGATGCTCTTGCATAGCTAGATAAATTTCTTCCTAAAAAAAAATCTAAAAGGTGAACAAGGATATATATGCTTCTTGGAAGTTTAGCTTCACATACTGGAAGAAGACACACCACACCAAATGGAGAGCAAAAAACTGGGACAAGGCGGCCAAAAAAGAAAATGTTATTTCGAGGAATCCTAATTTTGAAATAACACCACAATTGGTAAAACCTCCAGTAAATGCGATGAATTTGTTCTATATAAAATTGGTAAACAAAGAACTCTTGACCACATCAACCTGAATTAAAGCTTGGATTTCTCTTCTCAACCAGCTAGCAAGCCAATGGTCCCGCCGAAGATACCTATGCAACTTCCAATAACACGACACATTGAACTTATTGATTAAAGCACCTGTTCAACACAGGTACAGAACATGATATAATGAATGGAGACAAGCAGCTAAAGTATAAGCTGATCTAATGAAACAAACAGATGAGCAGCACCTGGTTCAACGTAGTAACATTGTAATCTGTACTTGTGAGTTTTTGAAAAGAAAATACTGCAGATGACATATACGAAAGTATAATAAGTGAAAAAAAATTCAGTCATTTGTTGCAGACCAACAACAACAAAGTAGATAAATATTCATGCTGGATAGCAACCAAAGGAACAGAGATCAATGTACAGTATTACCTATTTCCGAAGTCCTGATTTACATAATGTCGTTGAAAAGACCTTCCATCATATCCGTGTATGATAGAAAAGTTTTCCGACTGCATGTTTGGCATATTATAATGTTATATTGACTAAAAATTCAAAGACCTACAAAGGGATAAAAAAGGGCTTGAACTTACTAGTATAAAAATCAATCATTAAACAATTTTAAGGTTGGGTTACTTCTATGACAATTTTTTCAATCAAGGTGATGTGTCCAGTTGGAAAGGTCTTCACAGACGGTTGCTGAACATACTCCCACCTTCAAAACAGCAGAGCAAGTATGCCCATATGAAAGATACAACAACTCACTGTAACTAGGTATTGTGCTCCAAGATGTTAGCTATCCTCCAGAGGCAAGTAAGAAAACTAAATCAAAAAATTGAACCGCAAAGAGAAACCCTTCAGACTTCCCAACTAATGAAACTACAAAGTCGAAATCAACATCACATATTCAGTAAACACGCCATGTACATGCATCAAATAAGGCTTTCAAGGCCCTTTACATCTCTGGGGAAAATTGAATTTGTTCATTGGGCAATGAAAATCTACCGTGGAAATATGCAAAAATTAAATTAAAGTTTAGATGAGTCTGAAAAATTCCATTTTTAGTAGAAACAAGAAAGTATTATGTAATTGACATAGAAGGTAGGACTTAATGGTTCATTAATGAACAGATGACAGAAAATAAATAATGACCAATGGCAAAAAAAATTTTGGGAGTTGGCATGGAATGTTATAAGTTACGGCACTGTGATTGTTGAGGTTGTGGTGATGTTTAAAGACACGGGTGTTAGGGCAGCATCCTTCAAGGTTGGTTGTCCCAGTTGGTGACTTTAATATTTCAGTTCCCAAAGACAGTTGTGAAGGTGGTGGTGATTGTCATAACAGGTAGTGGCAGAAGTAGCGAAGACTTGTGGAGTTAGCGGTGGCAATAACCTCCTCACTGCATTAGACTAGACTTGGGGTTAAAGCTTGATATTTTGAAGGTAATGGTGGCTCTGGCAGTGCTTTACAAATGGTTGAAATTTTGGTGACCAAGTGTGTATGTGTGACAAGTGGATGAGGGAAGAAAAAGGCACTTACAGAAGAGAAAAGCACAGAAATCTCATTAAATTTTTATTTGTCTACTTAAGCAGAGTATTAAAAAAGGATTATAATTGTGAAATATATACTTTTTAGGGCATGCTTGTACACTTTGGCTAAAAGAAAATATTGCATAGACATTGTATGCAGATTTCATAACAAACCACATTGTAATCCAATCCCCGCGTTTGCATGCATTAGACAAACATTTTCAATAGATTCTCCCCCTTTTCACCTTTACACTTTACTTGAGTGAACCAAAGAGTGGAATAGAAGGGCTATCAAAATTTCAGCATCTTCTTGTGTCCAACTGTTTACACCCAAATATTAAGAATCTGAAAATGACAAGTGGCAAGATCCAACAGCCAGAATCGAGTCAAAGAAAGCCCAAGTGAGATAAGGCGGTTATGAGAAATGATCTGCTAGGATCTTGGCATGCGAAGAGCATGACAAATGTGACATCATGGGGCAGTCAGTTGCAGACAGTTTTGATGCACGTTTTTAGCCATTGAAGATAGAGGCCATGAACGATAGTTTAGTGGTCGTAAAAGATGGCTCCAATGGTTAGAAGTCACCGCCTATAAATACAAAGGTACGGGCAACAGGAGAGAGATCCCTCAATCAACACACACACAAGCAACATACCAGAGCCTTATTCTGCACTGTTTACGTTTATGCTTTTTATTTTAATTCCATTGTCGTCACCCAAGTGACTCTTTCCGTTCAATTCCAAGTAAAGTAGTTAATACAACGATTCTCTTTCGTTGTTTATTTTTCTGTTCATTCCAATTCCAATCTGTTTTCAATTTCTAGTTTATCAACCTGCTCCTAGAGGGAATAGTTTGTCATTGATCTCTAAGGCAGAAAAAAGAATGTCGATATAACATTACACCTCATCTCAATCGTCTAAACAGTCACGATATCAAAACCTCACGCTGGTTCAAGTAGGTAAGGTGGTAAGTGTTTGAAAATCTTAATTCTATTCAGACAAAAGCTCGCCCGCAATCCAAACTATGCCAAACATATTTTTGACACGCCCGATAACACCCATCGCAAGAGTATGGTGCATATAAGGGGAAAAGCCAAACCTGGCTCATTAGACACGACTCCGGGGCATGAGATAATTGAATAAGGCAGGTCGAGGTTGAGAATCTGACTCAGAGTCGGAGGCTTCTACACAGGCACTTTCTTAGCAAGTATCAAGATTCATCGATGGCATGAAATATTTAATAAGAGAAGACTCTGGCCGCACCAAACAAGCACCGAAGCGGCTGTTCAAGACCCTGAACAGACAGGGGGGCACAAGGCAACAACCAGCACTCCCAGCATGTGCACCAAAGGAGGCACAACCATTGCCTTGTTCGCATTTGCTACCACCAAGGGGCCAATAATGGCCCATGGAAAAATAATAATCCTCTTTACAAGAGGAGATGCTGCCCATTCCCAAGGTAGGGACATAATTCAAAGTCGCAGTATCGGTCATTCAGAGGGCACTAAGACACATCGATAAGAGCATCGCGGTGTGGAATCAACCAGTACACTCAAAACACTAGATAAAAGGTTCAAAAATTATTGAAAAAAATCATGAAATCTTCCAAATAATATAAACATCATAATCCAAGCATGATATATCCAAAATGTATTATTTAACACATCAAAAATAATTTAAAAAAATTATCAATGCGCTATTGATAATTGTTTAAACCTTCCATTAAATAAATCATAAGAAAACATTAAATAACACTGACTAAGGGATTGAGATATTAAAAAGGGCAAAAAAAAAATGGACAAACTAGTGGGATTGTGAAATCGAAAAGTACCCAAAAAAAAAAAAAGGCAATGGACTGAGCAGATTGTGAAATAAAAAAGGGAAGTCTACCCAACTATGCCATAAAATACTATGCTTAATATTTTAAGGCACGGCTAGTTTAACCCACAGAGGTGACCGATCAGATTCAGACGAAAGAAAGAGATCCCGAGACAACGATTGTGTGTGTATGTGAGAGAGAGAGAAAGGGAAATCGAGAGACTAACGGAGGGTCTCTACTTTGATGGTCATGGTCTTTGCTGTGAATTTGTGATGAGTGATGGGTTTCCCATTTTTCTAAGGTTTCTTACAATGGATCTCTGCGAGGAAGAAGAAAAAGAAGGGTCGTCTAAGCTCTCAAGAAAAACCTACCTAGGGTTTCATCCAAACAGGTTAAGTGTTGCTATTTTTTTCTAATTTCAAACAAAATTTTGCTTTGCTTTGCTTTTGCTCAGGCTTTTTTGCTTATTTCTTAAGTTTGGTGACCTGGTACTTCTTGTGTTCATTTATGTTGCCTTTTATTTGGCATTTTCTCTTTTCTTTGAGGTTGTTATGGAACGATTTGATGCAAATCGGTTTGACTCTGATGCAAATCGACCGACTATAACGATATGGCCACAAGGTTCCTATCTTTGCCACATTTTCGGGAGAAGATGGTCAATCAACCATCAAACACATTGGCCGCTTCACTGTACAGTGTGATGAGGCGGGTGCGAATGAGTTTCTGAAGTTAAGGCTATTTGCAAACTCCTTAACTAAAATTGCACTTTGCTCATACATCGACTTGTCGTCTAACTCAATGTTAAGCTATCAAAAACTGGAAGAAAAGTTCTATGCACATTTTTATCGAACGGAGCCTGCAGTAGCCATAGCCGACTTGCCTCGGTTGTACCAAATGATTGGTGAAACGACAAAACAATATATTACTCATTTTTTTTTGAACACACACTTAACACAACCTCTTAAAAGAGGAAGTGGCAAATATATTACTCATTTCAAAAGGCCAAAAAAATGTGCAAATTGGCCCTACCTGAAATGGAGTATCTGCACATAGCGCAAAATGGGGTAACCTTTGACCTCCGAAAGAAGTTTGAGAGCATGGAGTTCGGTGACTTGTTCGAGCTAACGAATTGAGCAACTTGCTACGAACAGATCTTGCGGGAGGGGCTGGAACGTCTAGTAAGGGCACTTACTATTGCAACCCCAATTCTGAAGTGCTCATGGTCGATGAAGACCAGAAAGTGTAGGTGAATAAAGCAGAAATCGTAGTCAGGTGGCCACATGTGGGGCACTTGTCAGGATTTCGGAAAAGTAAGTCCAAAAGCAAACCTCGACCAGCGCTAATAAGGGCATCGGCAACACCAACCAAAAATAAAAAGTTGAAATCTCTAGGACCGATCAGATTTTTGACCATCTAATAACAAATGACATCATCAAGTTGTCTTATGGTCATAAAATTTCCTTGACCGCAGAGTTCAAAGGGAAAACGTATTGCAAGTGGACACATATGGAGCCACTCTACCAACTAGTGTTTTGAAAAGCACGCCTAGGCACTGGCCTAGGTGAGAAGCGAGGCGAGTCGAAGGTTTCTCGCTTGGAGGACTCCAGGCAAAGCGAATGTGGCCAAAGCGAGCAAAAAGCGAACAAAGCGAGCGCCTGTCGCTTGACAAGGCGAGCGCCTTAATCTTCCCAACGTTTTTTTTTTATTTTGATTATAGGTCGTTGATTAGGCAATTGAAAAAAAAATTTAAGACATGGATTCACCGAATTATTCCCTTACCCCATAATAAATACAACCTAAACCTAATTTTTTTTTCAGATTGTCTTCGTTGGAGCTCTGCTACACGATCGCTAGAGCTGGACTGGACCAACGCTGGAGCTGGAGTGTTGGACTAGACCATCGCCAGAGTTGGAGAGCTGGACTGGACCATCGTCGGAGCTGCTGGACACAGGGAACACGATCGCTGCACTGTACTGCTACTGCTTCCTCACCGACACAGGGAACAGGTAAGTTTCTTCTTCTTCTCCTCTTTTCTATTTCTATTTTTTTCTTCTTTCTTCTCTTTGCTACTTCTTTCTCACCGATTCTGCTTTTTTTTTTTTTTTTTTTTTCTGATTCGAACATGGAAGTCTCTTCTTCTCCTCCTCTCTTCTATTTCTATTTTTTTCTTCTCTCTGCTACTCCTTCCTCACCGATTATGCTTTTCTCCTCTTTTTTTTTTTTTTTTTGATTCGTCTCCGATTAGTACTCTCTTATTTTTTAAGCACTAATGACTCTTTTTTTTACGATCACTAGTTTGTTTGTTTTTTTTCTTCTGATAAGCAATGCTCCGAACAAAACACATTCCTTTTTTGTTCTTATTGATATTGA